TCACTCATTATGTTCTAAACTGACTATCACAGCGAATTGTATCTTTATTTTATTATTATTTTTTGTTTTCCTCCTACATGTACATGTACTTTGTTTCTTTCTTTTAATCTACCCTATCCTGAATCTAAGAGCTTAAATTTTATTGACTTACTGTTCATACTAATGTTTAATAATAATAATAATAATAATAATAAAATTGCTGAAAGTAATGTTTGGTGAATTTTAATGAACAGCAGCTGTGTACATACATATTTCTGATGTTTTTCATATTCTCCCTCCCCATCAGTTACTGATAATCATGGTGTTGTATAGCTGTATGGATAATGAATTCCTAAGTTTGGGTGTGGCAACAATGAACCAATGAAGGATCACAACTTTCACAAGACACAAGATAATGTCGTTAAAGGTTCAGTGCTGGGCTGCCTTTAGAGATGGCAAACATGACAAAGCTGTTTACTTACTACGATTAGTGAAGGAACCAAATAAAATCAAAGGAACTTACATATATGACCAGTGAGTATGGCTGTATAGTAATCTACTTCATTTGTCTTCAAGGCATGGCTGGTTAGATGTTACAAGAGATCTTGTCACTAAACATCGCTTTAATCCACATGAGTGTGGTGATGGAGCTAAGACTTGTCTTGATTGGGCTGCAGAAGGTAATCATGTTGATACAATGAGATACCTCATCAATGAGTGTCACTGTGATCCAATGGCTATGGATGCATATGGAGCCTCTGTTCTTCACAAAGTAGCTAATAAAGGATCACTTGATGCCATAACGTACTTGCTCAGTCATCATCACTGTGATCCAAAGGCTACTACCAATAGTGGTCACACTGTTCTTCATTGTGCTGCTAGACACATTGATATTATAAAGTATCTCATTGATGAGTGTCACTGTGATCCAATGGCTACTAACAATGAGGGTGAAACTGTTCTTCACTGTGCCGCTGATCACATTGATATTGTAAAGTATCTCATTGATGAGTGTCACTGTGGTCCAATGGCTACTGATGCATATGGATATACTGTTCTTCACAAAGCAGCTGATAAAGGATCACTTGATGTCATGAAGTACTTGATCATTCATCATCACTGTGATCCAAAGGCTACTACCAATAGTGGTCAAACTGTTCTTCACTATGCTGCTAGATACATTGATATTATAAAGTATCTCATTGATGAGTGTCACTGTGATCCAATGGCTACTAACAATGAGGGTGAAACTGTTCTTCACTGTGCCGCTGATCACATTGATATTGTAAAGTATCTCATTGATGAGTATCACTGTGATCCAATGGCTACTGATGCATATGGATATACTGTTCTTCACAAAGCAGCTGATAAAGGATCACTTGATGTCATGAAGTACTTGATCATTCATCATCACTGTGATCCAATGGCTACTAACAATAAGGGTAAAACTGTTCTTCACTGTGCTGCTGATCACATTGATATTGTAAAGTATCTCATTGATGAGTGTCACTGTGATCCAATGGCTACTGACTTTGACAACATGACAACTCTTCATAAAGCAGCTGGAAGCATGTCAAGAAAATCATCTGATGTAGTCAAGTATCTCATCAATTAGAAACACTGTGATCCAATGACTGTTGACAATGAGGGGCAGACACCTCTTCACCTTGCTGCTTATTACAGTAATTCTGCAGTTGTTGAATATTTACTATCAACTGGTAAATGTGATCCATTAGCCAAAGACTACAAGGGGAGAACACCATTACAACTAGCTAAGAGTAATTGGGATATCGAAATGTTTCCCGAATTTAAAGACTTGCACCACCCCAGTACCCTCCCTATCTTTATCAAGTTTGGTGATATAAAATCATCTTATCCAATTGATTCTTATGTCAATGTTCTCCTTATGGGTAATCCTGGAGCTGGTAAAAGTACTTTTAGTCATGTCATCAATGACACAGCTATTCATTTTTTTGTTCTTGGTTCCTTTAGAAATGTTGGAGTGGTAGTGCCCTGTACTGCTGGCATCATTCCTTATAAAATACAACACAGGACACTGGGTAACATCATTCTTCATGATTTTGCTGGTCATCCAGATACTACTCCAGTCATAGTGCTGTCATTGAGAATCTGTTACAAGGTTCTGGTGGTGTGTTCCTGATAGTAGTCAATATATTGGAGAAGGAACCAGTCAAACAGCTTCATCAGTGGCTAACAGTTGTTAGAAATGAAGCACAGAAAGCTTCTAAACAATGCCATGTTATAGTAATAGTCAGTCATGTGGATGAAATATTAAATCCTTTTGAAAAGAAAAGGAGAAAGGAAGAAATACAGGTTATTGCAAAAGAAAAGTGTGATAGTGCCTTCTTAGATTGTCGTAAGCTTGGTGGGAGTGGTGTGGATTCTTTCTTTAAAATGTTGTCTAGTGCCTGTGAGTTTATTCGTAGTACAAGTGGAAGGAATTTGAGTCTTTATTGTCACATGATGTATGGTCTACTGGAGGAAAGGAAAGAGAATATACTGACCCTCTCTGATGTAATGTCTGCTGGTAAGGACAATGATGATTATTTTATACCAGATAAGAGAGAAGACGTCTTGGATGCTCTTCATTCATTGCACTCAACTGGTTTGATCAGTGTTCTTAAAAGTAAAGACAAGGTATGGGTTGTTGTGAATAAAGGTATACTACTAACTGAGGTGGATGGGATTCTCTTTGCTCCAAAGACATTCAAGCAACACGTTGACATTGCCAGCAATACTGGTATTGTTAGTGTGTCTGGTCTGACTAGACTCTTCCCTAACTATGATCCTCACATGTTAATCTGCTTCCTGAAGAATATGGAACTCTGTCAAAAATTGGATCTATCATTCCTGAAAATGACAAACTTAATAGGAAGAGACAGTGCCTCAGAGACTCAAAGAAGAGGAGAAAGGTTGTTGTTCTTTCCATGTCTTTTGTCTACTGATAGACCTGATGAGATGACTAGTCATGTGTACCAGTTTGGTTGGTGTCTACAGTGTACTAGAGAACACCATTTCTTTCCTCCTCGATACTTCCATGTCCTCTTGTTACATCTCGCTTACAAAATGGCCCTACCTCGAGAAGACAACAAGTTAAATCGTTACTGTACATTTTGGAAGAATGGTCTTCATTGGTTTAATGGTCATGGTGTAGGATCACTGGTAGAGATTGTAGATGAGAGCCAGTGTGTACTAGTAATGATGTCCTGTGAGGAAGGTTACAGTGACAATATGGTGTCTCTAAGAAGAGATGTGATAGGAGAGGTAATGAGTGTT